ACAAAAGTCATCACCCACCAACACTGTGACATTCCACCTTTTCATGCTTGTTCTGTTTATAGAACTGACCATCAAAAAGCCAACCGCTGTTTGAGTGGCACACGGACCAATAATGCAACACTGCAAAACACCAAACATTAGAATTAATGATCCTCCTCTTTGACTCTCGTCTTTGTCATTGCTCATGCTTACTTCGCAAAGTGTTCTAGATGGTACTGACTACTATGTCTTATGTGTATTTGATACTCCAGCCGATTTTGATTACTCCTTCATGAATGCAGTAACATCCAAAAACCATCAAGCCTTGTTTGCGCCGGAAAAAATAAAAAGTCAAACTCAAAGTCAACGGTAGAGCCAGAGCAGAGTCCAGTCTGGACTGAGCCCCTCCAGTCGTTCGTCTGATCCGAAACGCCAGCGACTCAAAAAGGCAACCCCAAATTACCGACTCAAGCGAACGTCATTGAAATCTCCTTCTCCTTGCCAAAATCATCATCATCTGAATCCCCCCACGGTTCATGCAATGTCATTGTTGGCAATGTCTGCGCCGTCTTCACCTGTGGCCTCGTTGCTGTCGTCTCAGTAGGTGCTACCGTTGCTGACCGCGGATGATCGTCAAACGAGGTATCGAATGTCATTTGAATGTCGTCCTCGTCGTGTCGGCCCGAGCCGTATGCGTCACCATGTCCTGACCCAAACCCTCCGCCGTACGGTGAGCTGTACCCAGGTGGTGGTGCTTGTCTGGTGTAGCTAGGTGTGTAACTGTGAGACCTCTCCTGGGACACACGAGTCTCGTGCGAGTCTCGTGCGCCGGTCAGATCCGTCCGAGAGCCTGCTCTAGAGCCATTGGCCACCGCCGAAGGAGATGCGGGAAGCGAGGACACATCCAGCTTCATTGGAGGCAGAGTTGATTTGATTTCCTTGACTTGTAGGTCCTCCGGGCTGGCGTAGTGATCTCGGGCATCTTTGGCAATTTCTGCACGGATTGCGTCAATGTCAAAAAGGACACCGGTGTTGCTGTCGGCTTGTTCTCCCTCCTTTGCTTTCTCTTTGCCTTCCCCCTTGTTCTTTGAGTCTTCGTAGATTTCCCAGTCCTGTTTCTCCGCGTTCTTTCGGCGACCGAAGAAGCTAAATCGCCCACTCTTCTTGGCCTTGCCCTCTTTCTCAAGGTTCTTGCGTGCCTCTTCGATCTCATTGATCAGTTCCCTCTGGCGCTCATTATGGTTGTCCGGGTCTGGATCTTCGATTTCAACGAACTCTTCACTCTCAACAGACCATCCACATCTTATCAACAATACCGGCATCTTTTGACGATAGTCCATGTGGCCATTCACGAGATCGGTTACGTCCATGTTCTCAACAAACGGACAATCCTCCACTGGAGCTAGACCTGCTACCCGGCGGATACCTCCACTCGTGAGTCGGAACAGGTAGCCTAGAATCCAGTCGTTGCGGTTGTACGCGTTCAGGAATCGCCCAGAAACCACAGTCTTGGCCTTGATGTACTCCTCCTTCTTTACCACGATAGGCGAACCAAACATGTATACATTTTGTACAATACCAACCGCTCCCTTCTTACTGAGCTCCTGAAGGCAAGAGAAAACGACTCGTGCGCCAATCGAGAACCCAACCAGTGTAATGGGTCGCGTTCCTAGGTTGCGTTCTAGCAGGGAATCTGCTAGAATCTTTCCAGCGGATGTGGCTCTGTCCAGCGAGACAGCCCAAGGGTTGTCAATAAGATAGGCAAGCTTGGTGAGAATTATCGGCAGCTGCAGAGCTGACATGAGAGCAGCTAGTATGGTTGTGCCCAGAATTTGTTGGATACTTTGTGTAAGAGCCTTTATGATCGTTAGTCTGATAATCTCTATTGGAACAGTGTGTAAAAATTCTGACCTCAGTAGCCAAAATGTTGATGGTGTCACCCATACTCCGAAGCATCTCGGGCTCAAAGAGCACTGAGTAGAGGTCACCCATGACAGGGTCTACCGTACTGAATGGCAGTCGTACGTCATCGACCTTACCTGTCAGCCACCCCGAGATAGTGACAATGAGGTTGACTCGCTTGTTGTTGTGAAGGGGACGATATTCGAACGTCCTAACCGCGCCAGTTCTTCGATCCGCAGCCCTGCCTCCGATGATACTGCCTGACGCCGCTGCGCCCGACGTGATGATCGCTGCGCCTCCTACACCACCGAGGAAACTTCCCGTGCCAGTCACTCCGATGGCCGTTAATCCGGTAGCCAGGCCAGCACCGATGACAGGAGCAAGCAAACCTGCCGAAAGACCAATGACCAGCCCACCACCTACGGTGGCCAGTCCCATCATCACATATCGCCGGGTCAATGCGTTCTTCCTGCGAGTTTCTGTGTGCTCTTCCTCGTTCCAGTTCTCCTTCTCGGCAGCTTGCTGCATCTCCAGAGCCTCTGTGACCTTCTTCTCGAAACGGCAGATATCTACCCACGTGATATCAAGGCTCTCACCAACTCGCTCCAAGAGAACTCTCGAGCGGGAATCGTAAATAGAATCAGCGATCAAGAGGAGGAAGAGGTCGCAAAGCACAGTCCACCGAAGATCAATATCGATCTTTGCGGTGGTGGGGAGCTGTGATGGTGTCTTCACATCAGAGAGCTCCTCGCCGTCAAGCGCCTCATATGGCGGTGGTGCCTCTGCAGGCTTCTCGTCCAGTGATGGGGTACTTGGCATCGATGACTCGCCATCTGCCATGGGATTTGATACTCGAGCATTAGTATTGAGCGCGGGCGCCAAGTCCTGCGGCATAACTCCATGCTCTGCCAACTGTTCGATCATAATCTGCTCTGCTTCATTGATCTCCATATGAGCGTACAGTCGAAGCATCATTTTCTGACCCCACATCAGCATGGATTCAACTGAAATAGCAACCTCCTTCTTTGTCTTCTTGTACGATTTCATTTTTTCCGCCTCTTTCACAAGCCTGACGATCTCGAGACGGACCAATCCAACGTATGCAACTCTTTGGCCTTCTGTCAAGAGATCTTTGGTAGCCTGCATCTGACCGATAGCATCTCGTCCTTCATCATCGTCGACCATACTGGTTCCGGCTGCGCTCTTGAAGAGATATTTCGTATTGTCGTCCATGCTTGTTGCCGACTCGGCATCATCATCCAATGTTACCCGAGTGTAGCCCTTACCAGCACCACCAAGTCCTCCATATTCGTACGATTCATCCTGTTCCGGATCGTATTCCCTTGCAACTAGCTTGTCGTCGTCATTATACATATCGTATCGTGCATAAGAAGGCATTTCTTGCCAGTCATCATCCTCCACCCCCTTCTGAGGTTCTTCTGGCTTGGTAGAGATCTTCTGGTGGGAAAATTCGGAAACATCCTTTCGATTGGCCTGCGTAGGCGATACAGGGGTTGGCGCGATTTTGTCGGACTGAGGGGGTTCTTCCTTATTGACAGCTACCTCATCACCTGTAGACTTTTTGACGGGATCTGCTGCCTCTGGTTGTGTTTCTACTAAGCCCTTGTTCGTCAGATCGTCTGGCTTGGGAGTCTCTGGCTTCTTGGTAGTGACAGCGACATCCCTATGCTCTTTGGAAGCCTCTGGCATTTCTGACTGTGTCTTTATTGGATCTTTTGGCTCCGGACCGTTGATACTTTTGGCCTCGGTAGGCTCGACTTTTGCTGGAGTTTTGCTAAAAGTTGGCGCACGGGTTTCGTGCGTGACCAAAGACGGGTTCGAAGCATCTTTGCTAGGATTTGACTGTTCAGATCGAGCATCTTCAAACGTTTCGCTCTTGTCGTCATCCTTAACAGATTCGACGGCCAGGGGGTTTGTTTGATCGCTGGCCTTATCGTTGTTCGTCTCGGACACTATCGGTTGCTCACCGCTCGAGGCATCTGCTACTGGAGTTGCAGCAGGATTCTCATCTTTGGACGTCTCGGTAGGCTCATCGTTCTTCGGAGTCGGAAAGCGCCTGATGGGCAGACCAAAATCGTCAACCTCTGCAGGTGTAGTCATGATGTCAAGCAATGGCGAATTGTAGTTTGCCTGGGTCTCCCGTTCAACGGGCTCGACGGAAAGAACTGCTTCTGGGACAGAAAGAGAAAGCAAAGAGAAATATGGTTCGGCTACGTGTAATGCGCCTTGAAAGAATGGATCGAAAGGGCCGAAGATCTGTAGATGACATTCGACCCAAGTACAAGTGCTGCGAGCGGACGAATCCTTCTGGCTCCTGGATTAGGTTGAGGCCGTCAAAGGATACTCTATGGTGTGATGATGTAAGTGGTTGTTCGACGTGAAATGCCACACCCGTATTCAATGATCTAGAGGCTGAGACGAGTTGTTGAAAGGGGCGGGCTTATTGTTCCCCTCGTCCCTCTCAAAACTAAAAGGAACAAAACTCCTATAATTATTGATGGATAGAATCCAACTTTGACATTACTGTGAGTGGGGGTCGACCCATCCCATCTGAAAAGATGGCTGAGTCCGGCGGAAGCGGTTGGTGGCCCTCCACTAGCAGACAGCGGATGGCGGGGCTCTCAGTGGTTGGTGGCTTTTAGTGGAAGGGCATTGTGCCTGCCCAGAGGGTTCATAGTGCAGGACACCCCTGTAACTCAGGGATGGATCTCGTCATTCAATATATGGTTGTTCTCAAATCAATTTCTCCTTCATACCTCACGCGACCCCTGATTTGTCTACATAGGCATACCGTTCTTTGATTTGAGACGAGCTTCAGCAATTGATACAGTTTATGGTCATAGCAAGATGAAGAGTTGGTTGGGGCCGAGTGAATCATGATCTGATTAAATTGCTAACATTGTTGACGCTCAAACACTATTCCTTTCATGCGCCCCTGGACTCCCTCAATCTATACTATCTTCTCGGGTATCGCTAACGGCGCACACTCCTTTTGATATCCCATGCCTTCATTGGCACATATTCCAGATCAAGCACGTGGTGGTCTTAACATTCCTGTTTCAACCCTAGACTGTCACCCGCTTTGCTTGCTAACTTTCTCATGACTCTGCCATGGTCACTTCCGCTGCTGCAGTGTCCGTTTCGCCTTCATCTGCTGCAGTAGCCTTGTTCCTCCTCCGTCTCTTTCGCTTGCCGGCGCCTTCTTGTGGGACGTCCTTCGCATCAGTAGAGTCTCGTTTTCGTGGTTGTTGTCCTTCTGTCTTTGCTTTCTTGGGTTTCTGGACCGCCAAAGGATTGGGTCCCTTGGGTCCGTGTCCTTTCTTCTTCTTCTGTTTTTGTTCTTCAGAGTCGTTGTCGGTCTTCTTGTCGGCCTTGTCGTCGTCTGCGTCTTCTCGCTTTCGCTTGCCCAATTGGTTCTTGATCTCTGCTCGAAATTTGCTTCTCTCCTCCTTTGCTCGCACTTGAACGCTCTCATCCGCCATTGGCTCGAGAATCATGACACTCCTCTTGATGTAGATGAGGGGGACTCCTTTGATGCCTCGCAGCATCCTTCGTACCTCCTGGTCTTGGCTGGCCACCACATAGCGATGCTTGTTCTGAAGTGTGTCTTTGGGGTCGACAACTGATCGAAGACACTCTTGAGTGCTCAATGGCTCGGGATAATCGTCGGGATGGTGACCGCATCGTCTTCGCTCCAGGGTCTTGGCTAGGTCAATGGCCTCATGTACACCTGGCTCATTTCGCGCTGCATAAAGTTTGCGAATTTCGCATTGAGTAATCACTATTCCAGTTAGAAGATCGACCACGACTAAGTTTGTCATGACATACTAGGCTTGACCTTGCCATGAACTGTCCTCGATAGAGCGGGCTCAAGGTCCATCTTGAATCGGGAAGAATCTCTCACCATCTCGGCATCGACTGCATCTTGTAAGCTTTGTCTATCTGGTTCAAGTTTGCGACAACTTACCCAGAACCTGATAGGGCTCACGAAAGCCGAAGGTCTGGGAGAACTGCTCCATGAGCTTCCGATATTGTTTTGATCGCTTTCCTCTCATTTTGAAAGATTTGTTGTACCAAGCTAGGTATTTGTTTAGACTTGCTAGGACTGGATGCGACGAAGTCAAGGCTGGCAGAAAATAAATTTCCTTATCGCGGCACGTGCGATAAGCTAAAATCAACCCGCTGCTACATGCGCCATGGCTGTAATGCCCCGCCATCCCACTTCCTTTACTTGCATCGTCATGGCTAGTAGGTAATTAGGTATCTATCATTCGGGGCTGAAATTAAGTGATGCTATTACTTTCTCATGGATTACATATCTGAATTTTGTCTAGGCAGATTGTTCCTATGTAATGAATGCTGACTCGTTACATGAGAACCATATGTTCGCTTCTCCATCATTAAGTCGTGTAATTAGGTATCTTATGCTTTGAAGTGCCGATCTGACAAGTCTACTGTAAGCCGTCCAGATGTCTCAGTTGTCCAGCAAAGAGACTACTATGATCCCTCATTTTTCACGCAGAGGGCTGCTACAACACTGATATCGTCAAGTTTACCTGCTACTGTTAGCTTTGCTTTCTCCTTTTAGAAACCTGTCGCTGTTGCTTACCACCCTCGCTCGCTAAACCCTCCTCGATCGCATGCTCCATGAATGGACTCTCGGCGAAAGGATCTACGGCGATTTCCCGAGCTGCCTCCATCAGATCTTGAGCCGCAATTCTCATTCCACCGTTGCGGCCACCTGTGCGATCGCCCTTGTGAGCTTCTGCATGTGTTCCAGATTCCCACTCTTTAATGCTTTTGAGTATTCTTGCAACGATCTCGTGCTCCCAAAGATTATCGATGACCCCGTCACTCATCGCGAGCACAATATCTCCGACTTCCAAATCGACCCTGTCCATAACTGCATTATCGGTGGGTGTGTCAGGACTGTTAGTCCCAAGCTGTCGTGGGCAATCAAACCAGTGCCACTGCTCCACAGTCTTGTAAATGACTTTTTCAGTACTGGGTCGGAGTACCATGACCTGGCAGTCGCCCACGTTAGTCACATACAAGACGGGTGATGCCTGTGCTTCGTTCTCGGTGCAAGTCTTGTAATGTAATTGCGCGCCACAGGCTGTTGTTGTTCCCAAACAGTCATGCGACATAGTCGCCTCAAGAGTCTGTTCATATGCACTTTGTAGGCTGGCGATGGGGTTCGGTTCTTGCGACTTTGGTAATCCAACAAGTTCTTCTTCGATCGCAGAAGACCAGAAATGCCCAATCAGTCTCGACCAGAGACTACAGTTCAAGTCAGTAACGATGTTAAAAGAGATTCGGAAGTTGCCCGGCAACTTACCCGGCATGCCCTCTCGGTCTTGTGGCCCACGCACCCACGCCGTCGTTGGCACAAATGAAATAATCACTCGCGTAGACAGCATCATCGCCATTTGTTTTCCCTCTGATAAGCTGTCCGTTGACAAAAGCACGACGGTCACGGCTCTGGTGGTGGGTACTTAAAGGATCGGTAAATGATGTAGACGGAGGAGAGAGGAAAGGCGGAGGGAATGGGCGGGGAGGTCGTTTCGCAAAGAGTCCAATGCCTGTTTCGAATCTAAAAGGCAAGATAGGAGCATCATGTAAAAGGCGAGTCGTCGTCGAAGCGAATCGTCTCTTGCGATACGGGCGCCATGCTGTGCATATCGGGCGTCGCACCGGGAGCGATGGTAAGAAGAATGTCGGGACGGCCGCCAGAATCGAAGATGGTTGACTGGGCATTCCAGCTGCACAAGCCCGGAGCTGCCCCTTTTGAGTTGCCTGCCTGGCCGCAACCTGTAGTTAGATTGCTAATGTGCTCTCCGAGAGAGAGATGTGATCTCCAGGAGAGAGCAGACCACCGTGATCAGGCTTGGACAGCTGGGGGAGGACAGACAGCTCCCCAGACACGTGATAAGCCCGAGACCGCCAAAAAAGGGCGTCATCCAGAACAGGCAGTTTTTGTGTCAAAGCGACCAATGATTTACAAACACTATTCTTCTCCCGCAGGAACCCGAGCTCATTGTTGACCCCAACAGTAGGAGAGAGGACTAGGATGAGCTAGCATTGGAGGCAGGACGAAAAGAATCACCCTATAAACGCCCTTAGAACGATTCAGTTTCTGCGGTTGGCCTGCTTCTTTTGTAAAAACTTGCCTTGAGATAGGGGATGTGCTTCGGCGATCTTCCGTGAGAGAGTGGCCGAAGCCCAATTGTAGCAATGCATGGCGTTTGATAAGTCAGCCAATGCCACATCCGTATATAGGCTATACCAGAGAAACTCTGAGTAAACTTGACAACTGAAAAGGCATATATACATAGACAGGCCCCATTAGTGAGGGACTTCAGTCAATCATGATTTCGGTGAATTGTGTTAGTCTGAAAGAGACGAATAGCAATGGTGGATTCTTTGGCGAGAAAGTTACCCATATATCTAGGCTACGGAGTACTGGGAAACTAACAGCACTTTAAGAACATTCATGGAGAGAAGATTCACCAGATGACATAACAAAACTTCTGACGAAAACAGTGTGCCAGAATCAACTGGTCTAAAGATCTACTGCAATACGCTAACTTCCCCAAGTCTTTTCATTACAAGTTAAAGGATAAAGGCCCCAAGTTTTCTTGCCTCCCCTTGAGGCTGTAGTCGCTAGAGCTGTGTAGGGTAGCACGTGTTCGCCATGGAGAGACAGGCATCTTCACAAGTCATGAAACGAAACAAAGCTAACTTGACAAAATAAAGCGTGTCCAATCTCGTGGTTGCCGCACCCTGTTCAACCCGATCCAGAGATTCAACCCAATCATGAATGCCAAGAAAGGTTGGCAACCTGCAGGCTGCCAGAAGGGAGTCGGATCCCCCATCAACTGGAGATATCGTCAATATTCGTCGAGGAAAGGCATTTCTGATAAGACGAGGGCTGTAGGATGACGCATTTTATTGAGACACTGGTCATGGTATGGTTTGATTTCTCCACGCAAAGATCAGCTAGCTGGACTGGAAATAGTGCCTCATCACGATCTGATCCAAACTTATCACCGCAAGATTGGACTCATGACGTAAGGGATGGGGATGAATCGATTCTCAATCAAAGCCCATTTCCCAATAGGGGTCAGCTTGAACCTCTTGCGGACACTATTATGCGGACTGCGAAAACAGCGTCCAGAACATGAATTTAGCGACATAGTGTAGCGGGCATGACGAATTGCGGCTCTTTTAGATGAACTGTCGGCTTCTCAAATGCCTGACGATCAAACAGGTGGACCTGGGCGATCGTACTGGGGTCTTGTATCCGAATCTACTCCGTAAAAGGCTGTACTAATCGCAGCAATCTCGTGCAGTTGGAACTCTGAAGTGAGACGTCTCATGTTAATCACAATCGTGATTGACACGGCCAGGACTTCAATCCGCATCTTGACACGCAATCCTTCTTGACCGTATAGAGACAACGGCATCGGCTAGCCGCCTCTGCAAAATAACAAACCCCATTCTGGTTGTAACCTTCGAGCGTATTTCTGGCGGCTAAGTGAGCACGGTTAGTGCAAGGCCAAGGGGAAGCCGGTGTAGCCGGCTGAGCTAGGAGATTCATCAGATTTTGCCCTGAATTTAGTTATGTACATCTTCTCAAACAATAATACGTTGTGACCAATGGGACTTGGTGATAGTCACAAACACCAAGAGCTTGGCAGCATAGCCATCACGATTTGGAGCCCAAGGCCAAGCTACAAGGTCTTATTCAAAGTACGGAGTATGTACTTTCCATTCGGAGTTTGACAGTCCAGGTAGTCTTCTCCAGGTTTTGAAAACCCCGAACCATCCTGATCCTTGTCCGGCTGAATTAGGGCTCGGATGCCTCACTCAAGCTCAAGACAGTCTACTACAGTATGTGCAAAGCTCAGAGGTAATGAATATCTGTATTAGAAGATAATGGCACTATGCATGAACTCGCTACGGATATTGTATGTGTGCATTTGGCGTTTACAGTGAAATAATTTGTACAATCGAAGCCGAAACCGATAGTCTACCCACTCTCTCTATCCGTACCTGAGATGGGCATCAACATTTGAGGCCTCAAAGTGCCAAGCTTTTCTGACCCCAGAAAACTACTGAGCGAAGCCCGCTTATAGTGACTGTCTGACTGTACATACTCCGAACAGTTTCGCGGCTGGACGCTTACGTATCCATGAAGCAGAATGGTGGAGTCAGACCAACAAAGTCTAGATATCATGTTGAGGCTTGGCGAAATACTATTGAAGCAATACGAGGCCTGGCTTGCTGACTTAGCTCGCTCGCTGGTATGGTGTAATTTCGTTGGTACGAGACGGTAGGTAGGTATCCATCAATGAAGGAAGCTGACGGGATGGGACGATACCCGCAACATGGGCGAAACAAGAGAATCGCGACCAGGGTGGCTGGCTGCAGGGCTTCAGGCGCTGAGACGCATTCAATGGATCCCGCGAGAAATCATTGATGGAGCCAGCGGCAACAAGAAGCCTTGAATTGGAAGATGGCGTTAGTTAGTGACGAATCTGTTTTGCCGGGATATGCCTCTCTCTATCCACTCCGTCCGTATCCCGCCCGTCGTTAACGCCGCTCTACGGGCTCCGAAGAAGCGGGAGAATCCCAGCCACTGTCTACCGAATATCCTTTTATAGGCTCGCATTGGCCTGTACGTTTAGGTAGTTTTGGGCAGTGGATCAGCGGTAAATACTGCAGGTACCCAAGCTGCAAAGCTACCTACCTACCTACCTACCTACCTACTACCAAGTTACCTCTTTTGTAAGTCGTGAAGCGTTTGGACAAGATTTGTTGCAATCTTCCCTTGGCTCTGCTGCGCCGCCACGAGTTCCAAGTCTTGGTGTTTGCGCAATGTGCACCGGATGCCAGATTGTGTGCTCGGATACCAAATCAAAGCCGTCTCAGACAAATGTATGATACTGGTGAGAGCCGGTGCCAAGCGGATCGAAGCCCAGATGCGCGCGGCCTCTCCTCACGTTGCACCACGCATGTCTCCGGATCTTGGCTGGGTCATAGACAACTGATC